TGCCGTCTCTCGGAGCTGGAAACTCTGAGGGGCAGGCAACCACCTTCAACTGGATGGTGCTCCCGAGAGCAACCTTGTAACTGGCTGCTGTTGGTTAAACGCTGCCCGCGGCTCTTCTTGCTGTCTTTTTTCAGTTCCAGCAGCAGGATAACTCTGGAGTTTACAAATGAGAAATTTTCAGCTCTAGCCATTCACCACTAGGAAAATATCCAATGTGGCTTTCTTGGATCTAAAGTGAATGTCCTCTCACTTCCTCACATTAATTGTCTGCTACCGTTTACCCACACATTTAATTAGTCTATGCTCCCTTAAGACAACTGCTTCCACGCACACAACCTACTATGTTTCCTAACTTGTTATCATCTGCAAACCTGGATGTACAACTTTTTATCTAAATCTGTAAGCGTGTGGGAAGAGTTCATGCCCGGCCCTAAAGTGAGTTGTAGTTCATTACAAAAGCCTAATCATTTATGACTTACCTTGATAGATACTTCAACTGGGGATTTCTAGAAATTAAAACACAACAACTATTAAAACGTTTTATATCAGGTAACATGTTAAAGAACTTCCTAGCTTCAAGACATCAGTATCACTATGTGTGGAAGGTTGCATAAGATAACTAATTTTGTTTTAGGAAGCAAGTTGTTCAGTTCCCTTTATGAAAAATTAATGCTTGTGACAGCTCAGAAGTGTAGGAATAAATTCAAACCCTTGATACTCCTGATCATTGGATGCACCAGCTGCAAGGTAGGTTCAACTCTATATCGAAAATGCCCCTTGTGAACTCAGAGGAAATCACCCAAGGGGAAACAAAATGGCAGGATGTACAAATGAACGGAACTTATGTCAGCGATTCTGGCGGGGTTGGTTCTGGCTACTGAATGAGGACCAATAACATCTGGGATGGGGAGAAAATGTTTGGGTTTCTTTCTCCGATGTTACTGCATTTAATAAATACAATGGCCAATACCACCATATGTTTTGTAGCCATGTCTGAAAGGAAATGCTATTGCCTTTAAAATCAGTAAGATCTCCAAAAATTTCAAGACTTGAAATAACAACACAGCAGAACACTCTGCCTTTCCTACCAGAGTTCAAATCATGGCTAGACAGAAGTGAGGAACTTTTTTCCCATGCTGATGCCTATTAAAGATTCACTCTGAACTTACTTTATCCAATTTGAATAAAATCTCTGCAGGCATGGATCCACTAAACTACCTTTCATGACTTACAAGTACACAAAATCTGGCAACAGAATGCTGCAAAAGAAAACAAATCATGATGCTCCTTATTCAAGGCCAGAGCATTGCTTGTGGGGCCCAGGGAAATGCTCGTGTTCCTCTTAGCCAATAAAGAAATGTAAAATAACAGTAACTGTTTGGAGCCTCTTCAGTTCTCTGGAGAGACCAACTCTCTTCAGTGTAATGGGAAAGCCGTTCAGCCAAAATCAGAATCAGAACCTGATGCCATAATCGGATCTCCATCTTGAATTTTAAAAGAGGACACTGCTGGCTTTAGGCAAGCGGCATTGAGCATTCATTCACAAACCTACATAAAATCAGGATCTGGATGTCTTAAGAGCAGTTTAGTAAACACACCCTACCTATGGATTTTTTTTCCAAAATGCTGTATGGTAAAGACAGTTACTGGTTTAATTACAGTTAATTCATTCACTCCAGGCTGGCATTTTGTAAACTTCCCCAATAAGAACAGCCATTGCTTCATATCACAAGGACTGTTCTCACAATTGTGCCTTTGTCACTGCCACCCCCATCACTGCTGTTACTGTAAATGTCGTTTTCCCTGTCGCAGTGTAATTTCCCAGTACGCAAAAGGATAGATATCCTGCAGGCACTGCTGAATACAAAAACGTATTTACATGTAGGACCGGTCATGACTTGACTATCTCATGTGTTTTCACGTGTGTAACTATGTCCTGAAGGAAATTCCATTTCTGCCATCTGTATTTTATTCAGTTGGGGATTTTTTTTATATAAATGCTTTAATCATTTTGCTCTTTCTGAGAGAATAGACTCCTCGCTGAGTCCTAGAGATGTGTGCGCGATGGCAGCTCATTCCAAAAGCAATTTTATTTCAGGGCTAGAGTACAGATCAAGGAAGAGCTGCTGCTGGCTGGCTGTGCTCCATAGGGAGGCCTGGGGAAGAAACTAAGGAAGAGCTGGAAGTTGTGAAGAAATCATGGTCAGTAAGAGTAGGGAATCGGTTTGTTCCTGGGACTTAGGGCAATGAAAGGAAACACAGGAAAGGACTTGTGGCACTAAACAAAAAGACTGCACTTTTTAACCATTATATAACATCAGTTAAAAAACAATAAAGCTTTGTCCATGTGTTAGTATATGAAAGGACAGCCTAATTATGAAACAACTAATTTCTTTTTAATTACTTATCTTGAAAGAGCTAGCATCTGTATGATTTCTGCAATATAGTACCTCAGAATAAAAGTCAATGCAGTAACAAATTCTGGATTACAAAATTTATCTCAGGAGTAGAAATCACCTGGCTCACAAGTACCTGAGGATACAGTGCCCATTTACACCATGAACTCAAACAAGTTTCAAGTCATGAAGCTTTTTCTAAAATTATCTTTCACAAAGCTACTTGGAGGACAAGTAAAGCACATTGCTGGATGCAAGCATTCAGCAAGCAGGCACTCACGTTCTATTGGAAGGTCATTTCAAAACATAGCCAAATAACTTCAGTTTCATCCGAAATAAATGACTGTGGAATTACTGAGTTCAGACTGCATACCAGGATCAGCAAATGCCTGGAAACAGTTCTCCAGCTAACTGTCCTGATTTTGCAAAGATAACAGGTACAGGAGGAATCTAAAATCTAAATTAATTCAAACCAGGGTGGTGTGATAGGGGTTGGATGATGAGGGACTGATGGGAAACTGTACCACATGAGACAAAATTACATTCACAAAGAGGATTGCATTGAAGTGAAACAGCACAAAAACAACCCAGAACAAACTTCCAGTATGTAAAGAGGGAGATCACAATGATGCCACCCACAAACTGGAGGACCAGCACCTCATCTTCTGCCTCGGGAACCTACAGCCCAAAGACCTAAACATGGATTTCACCAGTTTTAAAATCTCCCCACCTCTGGCCTCATCCCATGACCAACCCTCCCTCTCATCCCCACCTCCATGGCCTGCCACAACCTGTCCATCTTCTCTCCCACCTATCCACCCCTCCCACCTCATTGACCAATCCCCACCACTCCTTACTTGCACTCGCCTATCACCATCCATCTACCTTCCCCAGCCCCACCCCTCCTCTCTCTATTTATTTCTGAGCAGCCTTCCCCCTCCCCATTTCTGAAGAAGGGTCTCGACCCGAAACATCAACTTTCCTGCTCCTCTGTTGCTGCCTGGCCTGTTTTGTTCCTCCAACTCCACATTGTGTTATTCCAGTATGTAAAGGCCATCAACATTTACATTTTATTTTTACTGTGCCACTGCAGGACTTCATATTAACTTTCTCCCCATGTCAAATGTACTCAAACTCAGAAGTACTAAATTTCAGTAACTGAACACAACAATTAAGTGAAAATATTAAATGCATCATCCACTCAACTGCACAAACACTTCATGCACTCCAATTGTGTTACACCTAAACACCTCTGAGACCTCATTTTTGACTCTCAACATCATACTTATGCAATTTTTTTCAATATTCTTCTGGAATGATTGTTTTTAAGTTTATGGATTGTACTATTAATCACAAAGTCTTAAAATAGTTCAATGCATCAGACATTGTAGGAGATTCATAATTTAGTACCAAACCAAATCACCTCACTGGGAGGTGATGGCCTAGTGGTATTATCGCTGGACTGTTAATCCAGACACCCAGGTAATGTTTTGGTGACCTGGGTTCGAATCCCACCATGGCAGTTGGTAAAATTTGAATTCAATAAATATCTGGAATTATCCATTGTAGGAAAAACCCATCCAGTTCACTAATGTCCTTTAGGGAAGGAAACTGCCATCCTTAACCTGGTCTGGCCTACATGTGACTCCAGACTCACAGCAATGTGGTTGACTCTTAACTGCCCTCTGAGCAATTAGGGATGGGCAATAAATTCTGCCTAGACAGCTATGCCCTCATCCCGTAAAATGAATAAAGGAGGAAAAAAAAGCACTGTCACCAACTCCAATTGGTTATAATTGTACAAACATATTTATGGAATCATGCATTTCATGGAGTGGTCCTGGTCGTATTGGATTGTGGATGGGAAAGGAGTGATAAATTGTAAGTGAAAACCGAAAGAACTGCGGATGCTGGAAATCAGAAACAAAAACAAAATTTGCTAGTAAAGCTCAGCAGGTCTGGCAACACCTTTGGCAAGAAATCAGAGCTAACGTTTCAGTTCCAGTGACCATTCCTCAGGACTGGACCCGAAACGTTAACTCTGAGTTCTCTCCAGAGATTTTGCCAGATCTGCTGATCTTTTCCAGCAATTTCTGTTTTTGTTTCTGATAAATGGCAAGGTTAAATGCTACAACAAAAACCTGGAAAGACAGAATTGAAAGGATTAAACTGTGTTTCTTCTTTGTTCATGGTTATATTCTGAATATAAGAATCTGACATTATATGAGATGGTGGCTATTTTATCCAACTCAGGTTAGTCTTTAGCAATTACAATCATAAAAGGCCAAACAATCTCCAGAGTAATTGGCTGAAGACACAAAAGTACTGATTACCAGAGAAAAACGATCATCACAATTTTGTAGACAGCCTGACTAGAAATAAAATATAAACACTAATTTCACAGAAATTGCAGCTTGTAATACTGCTGATGCACAACGTGATATAGTTTTCAGTGCAATTTATACAGCAGCAAGTATAACCCTGCTCTTCATCCTTTCAAAACCAGCACAGATTAATACTATTGCATGCAATTCACCAATAGTAATGATTCCTTCAAATGATTAATGTGCAATGCAACATCAATATTGTCTGCACAATACTTACAAATGGCTACTATTAATTTGGAAAAGTGATCCATAGAAAAATGCAGCATCAGGAAAAAGAAGTTGATCATCACCAAACAGACACACAAGATGACACAGATCCATTCCTGTAACCGTTTACCTGAGAACAAAGGAGAAAAGGAGATATTATTGTTGGAAATTACAATAGGTGAGGCAATATATTCAAAAGTAACAATTAAACCTTGTCAACACACACTCCGGTTTTCATTTCAGTACAGCAGTTTCCGTCACTAGGAGATCCCTTCTTTTTAAAATTAGACATTTGATTTTAAATGATGATTTAACTCTTCCTGATTATTTTCCTTACTGTACTAAGATTTTAATTACATTTGAAATCAAGCCATATAATCTTGAATCTTTAAGCAACAAAAATAATTTCCAAAGACAATCAGGCAATATTTGAAGAAATAAAATATTAGACAAGTTTTTTCCCCCCTGGAAAGTTTAGCTAACATTTGCCCCAATGCCACCCCCTACCTTCCCCCATAGTTATTCCACTTAGTTTATAAACTACTTTTTTTACAACTTTGCTGTTTTTTTTATTAAAGGTTTACAGATCAAAGAAGTCACAAAAGGGAGTCACCATTTTCATCTTATTTACGACCAGCTTTACTGCCTTTCTTGTTGAGGCAGAGACATCAGAATTTTTCAGAATATTTTGAGTTAAGGCACAGAAGCAAAATTCTTCTGAGTGATTCCAGCTGTCAGAGTGGGCTGGTTGAACACAATGGATTTCTGTCCCCTTTTCATGGTTACCAACCAAGTCTTTTTGTATGGAGTGGGTTTGAACACAGCAGGCAAATTGCAGATTGCCAGATTTATTGTACTTATTTAAAGGAAAAATGTACTTTCACCCTCACATTACACTTTGTTGTGCACAATCCCTGATTGAGGAGCAGGGCGTCATACTGCTTCCATACCTCCACCAACACCATTCCAACCCGGCAAAAGGAGACTTGAAACGATGGTCCAGATTAACTAATTGACCATTTTTTCGACAATGGATTACCTCGACAGCACTCAATGCCTCCCGCTGAAGACACATTTGACAACGTGAATCATAGATGCAAATGCGCTAATCTAACCCAGCTTGAAGGGAAATACAAAACAAAGCCACTGACAATGGAGGTCAGACTAACTCAGATTAGGAATTATATAATAAGAGACAGTTCACTGCCATTATTGTTTATAGCTAATAAAGCAGGCCTAGTCCTGTTAAGCTTTCCAATTAATTAACTGGGCTCTTCAAATTTCAGGGATTTTTTGTTCTTCCAATATTTTAATGCAAAAAAACTGCTGACACAAAATGTGGGCACGATGCCATTGGGGTTAATTCCTGCATAATTACCAAAGTTGTGTAAATAGAATGTCATCTAAGAATGCACACATAGCCTTGAATTTTCAACTGTCTACACATTAAGTTTAATAGAACGGATTCCAAGTGGAAGACTTAAAACCAAAGGATTAATTACACCCAGTACCCTTTTTTTCTGGGAACATAAGCACTGAAACAACAGTGCCAGAATTTTCTTTCAAACAATTAACCTTCCCATGGAGAGAGGGAATAGCAAAGAGGAAATCTTGATTCAGCATATCCCTCATTCTGCCATTACTATACTGCCAGAGATCAACTGTGCATGGCTAAAAAAAAGGAACTAATGCAGTAAGACTATAGCACAGTGTATTCTACAGTTTAAATGCTATAGACAGAATTAAACAACACCACAACCAGTGGAATTGATTAAAACACTGCACTTCTGCTACAAGGATATGCCTGGTTATGGAAAATTAAATTATTAATGGGAGATGAAATAACTCCACAAGAGGTCAGTATCCTGTCACCAAGTCACCCTTTACTTACATATGGAGAGTCCTTGACACTGATCCAGCTCCCTCAGAGCTAGGTCTCAGAGTGAACAGAATCTCTGACATACCTGTTTATATCTGTCAGCCAAGGCTTCCTGATTGGACCAGATTAACAGCCCCAATCAGGGAACTCATAATCTGTAAGGTCCACCTGACTGAACTCATTACAATCACTACAGGAAGAGGCAACAGTTCTATGAAGATCTCTATCCTCAATGATGGAGGAGTCCAGCAACTAAGTACAGAAGGCAAAGCTGGTGCATTTGCAAACATCTTAATCTAGAAGTGCTGAGTTGATTATTCAGCTTGGCCTCCTCCTGAAGTCCTATCATCACAGAAGCCAATTTTCAGCCAATTCAATTCATTTCATAGACCATCAAGAAATAGCAGAGCATATTATAGGAGATACAACAAAGACTGCAGACTCCAAAAAATTCCCACTTGTGCTCCATTATAAGCTGCACCTTCAGATAAATGTTTCCAATACAGCTATATTACAGGCAACTTCTCAAAAAAGTGGAAAGTTTGCCCAGCAATGTTCTTTGCACAAAAAGCAAGCCACATCCAAACCAACTAATTAAGCAACTCATCAGTCCATACTTCAGCATAAGAGTGATGCAAACTTTCATGAGGACTTTTTCCATTTGCTCATGTGATGTTGGTATCATTGGCTAGGCCAGCATTTTTGTCCATCCCAGACTGCCCTGGAGAAGATGGTAGTGAACTACTTCTTTGAAGCACAAGCGCTCCTGGGATGTAGGGATGCTTACAGTTATTAGGAAGGGACGCCCAGCATTCTGACCCAGAAACAATGAAGGAATGGCGAGATTGCTCCAAGTCAGGATGGTGTGTGATTTGGAGGGGAACTAGCATATGTTGATGGTCCCATGCATCTAATACCCTCATTTTTCAAAGTGGTAGAATTTGTGCGTTTGTAAGGAGTTTTTGAAAGGGCTTTGTAGAGTTGTTGTGAGGCATTTTGTTGATGATACATACTACTGTCACTATGTGTGTCAATGGTGAAGGGAGTGAATCTCAAAGGTTGTGATTGGGGTCCCAATAAAGCAGGCTGCCTTATTCTGGATGATGGCAGATTGGAGTGTTGTTGGAGCCGTATCCATTCAGGCAAGTGGCAAGCATTCCATCAAACTCCTGACATGTGCCTTCTACACGGACAGATGTCGGGAGTCAGGAGTTGATTTATTTGCCAGTTGATAAATCATCCAGAAATGGCTGAGCATGGGGCACTACCATGAGGAACCCCTGATGTCCTGGAGCTCAGATGACTGAGCTTCAACAACCACACCGTAATCATTGTTGGAGTTTTCTTTCTCACTGCCTTCTCTTCTACAACTGACATGCTGTATCTTGGTCTGAGCTGTTTTCTGTTCCTTCACAATGTAACACCATGATCAGTAATACAGATATAATTTTTGCTGGTTGCACATTTCAGAAACATCTGCTGGCATCCAAGTATTTGTACTTGTATTCCTAACTTGCACGCTCTGCCCAGTGCAAAGCTTTGGTAGTGCTCTCAATGTGATATAGGTCATTTCCCATTTTTTACATATTTTGAAACAGTTTGCTAATATACCATAATCTATCATCAGGCAGTGTCTGTTCCAGCTTACTGAATAAACTAGAAATAACACTCATCGTGTCAACAACAGCCATTTTTGTTTTGTTGCTGTGTTATTAAACAATGAGAAATTTAAAGTAGCAATCCGTCACAAGGATAGAACCTTCCCCCATGCTGTGAACATTTCTGTTGCTACTTTCATCCAAGTTGTGGATGGAACGTCATGTGTATTATAGGTTCCCTCTGCTGCTGGCATTGATAGACACGTTTAATAAATCTGTTCAGACATTTACAACACATCTCTGGGAAAGATGGGATTTGATCCTCAGCCCTTTTGACCTAAAGGTAGGAACCTACTACTGAGCCAAAGTCCTACTGCTGTTAGAGTTGCTATGCCTCCCATTCATTCATGAGTCACTGAATATCTTATTTCATCCCCGGTCACATGTTAATTGTCTTGTGCATTCAATACCCTGTTGATGCCTGCAGAAGGTATCTCTTTGACATGATATCATCTCCTTCCCACATCAGGATATGGTAGCTCACAAAGCTAAGTAGTCTGTACTCTTGCTGAGCGCACACACTTCTTGTCTGTATATAATATTCACTGATTTGTTGGGAAGCCTATAACCCGATCTTCAGAATGGCTTCCTCTGCCTTCTTTCCCAACATGAAACAGATGAGCACCATATCCAGGTAGAAATGCTACTTACTTATTTTGACTTCAATTCCCTTTTGTTTTAGAAGTAAATAGACTGTTCAAAGTACAAATATGTGCAAGCTGATGCCTAAAACACATTTCTGGGACATTAGGTCGACAATTAGTCTTCTCATTCTAAATTCAGATCCTACTACTATTGTTTTCAACCACAATTTTGTCCAAGCTTTTTAGCGAAACTATCCAAGCCCTCTTTTAAATTTTTAACAATCAATGCACCCAGGCCTACTTGAGGGCAGACTCTACAGCAAGTTGCAGGATACTGAAATAATTCCAGAGGCCAGTATCGCCGATTATTGCACAATGTTCAGCACCATTCGCAACTCCTCAGATACTGAAGCAGTCTGTGTCCAAATACAAGAAGATCTGGACAATATCCAGGGTTGGGTTGACAAGTGGCAAACAACACTCATGCCACACAAATGCCAGGCTATGACTATCACCAACAACAGACAATCTAACCACCGCCCCTTGACATTCAACTGTGTTACCATCACTGAATCTCACACTGTCAACATCCTTGAGTTATCATTGATCAGAAACTCAACTGGACTCAACACATAAATGGAGTGGCTACGAGAGCAGGTCAGAGGCTGAGAATATTGTGGCGAGTAACTCACCTAACTGCCTAAAGCCTGTCCACCATCTAAATAAAAACTGAATGAACTGCGGATGCTGTAAATCAGAAACAAAAACAGAAGTTGCTGTAAAAATTCAGCTAGTATGGTGGTTTCAAAGTTAATGTTTCGGATCCGGTGTTCTGAGGAAGGGTCACTGGACCTAAAACATTAACTTTGATTTTTCTTCACAGATGCTGCCAGACCTGCTGAGTTTTTCCAGCAACTTCTGTTTTTGTTTCTGTCCACAATCTACAAGGCACAAGTCAGGAGTGTGATGGAACACTCCCTACTTACTTGGATGAGTGCAGCCCCAAAAC